GGCAGTTTTGTACCTTATCTATCCTATATAATAAAGAGGTAATGAGAGAGAGAGAGGCATTGAATGACTATCATTAACAAATCAACAAACGACAAGTGCTGGTGAGGATGCGGAGAAAAAGGAACCCTTGTGCACTGCTGCTGGGAATGCAGACTAGTGCAGACACAGTTGAGAACAGTATGGAGTTTTCTCAAAAAACTAAAACTGGAACTCCCATTTGACCCAGTGAGCCCACTTCTAGGAATATATCCCAAGAAACTAGAAACACCAATCAGAAAGGATATATGCACCCCTATATTCATAGCAGCACAAGACACCATAGCTAAGATGTGGAAACAGCCTAAATGCCCATCAGCAGATGAGTGGATTAGAAAACTATGGTATATCTACACAATGGAATACTATGCTGCTATAAAAAAAAAAAGGAAGGAATTCTTACCATTTGCAGCAGCATGATGGATCTGGAGAGCATTATGTTAAGTGAAATAAGCCAGGCAAGGAAAGAAAAATACCACATGATCTCACTCATTTATGGAAAATAAAGAACATTATAACCTGATGAACAAAAAGATAGATACAGAGGCAGTAAAGCACCAAACAGATGTCAAATTCCAGCGGGAAGGCTGGGGAGTGTTTGGGAGGGAGAGAAATAAATCAACCAAAGGACTTTTATTCATACATATAAGCACACCAATGGACACAAGACACTACAGGGAGGGTGGGGGGGGGGGGGAAGAACATGGGACAGGGGGTAGGGGAAGCTGGGGAAAGGTCAATGCGGGGGGGGGGGGGAGAAAGGAGATCTATGTACTATTATATGTAGTACTTTAAACAATAAAAAAAGAAAAAAGGTAGAAATCTCTTAGGTCTTGTTAAGCTACTGTATAGCAAAAAAATGGCTGTGCTTGATGTTTGAGAAAGTAACTTTTATTTCTGGCCTAGACTGTAAGCTCTTGCAGCAGTTGCATTGTTTCTGGGCTTTGGTTTCTTCTGTTTGTACGACCTGATAGCTCCCTGGAACTTTAGGTCCAGACTCAGAGTTGGAGGTCTCCGGAGGGCTGCTCGCCTCCATGCAGCAGTGGCTGGGGAAAGAAGCTGAGGAAGGAGCCGGACTTCCACCAGCTCAGACGGGGCTGATTTGACTGGGACTAGTGCAGGCTCAGTCCCAAAGTCAACCATCCAAGTAGCCTGATCCAGGGACCAGGCTTGCACTGATGACATCTTTATTTTTATTTATTTATTTATTTATTTATTTTTTATTTATTTATTCATTTATTTACAGAGAGGAAGAGAGAGTAATAGAGAGTTAGAACGATGAGAGAGAAACATCCATCAGTCATGGCCACAACCAAGGTAGGTGCCCTTGACCAGAATGAAACCCAGAACCCTTCAGTCCACAGGCTGATATCCACTGAGCCAAACTGGCTTTGGCTGATGACATCTTTACATAGCCGGCATCTTACTATGCAAGGGACCAAGGTGTCAACGTCGAGTCAGCTGAAGAAGATGACAACTGAGGCCAAGCAGATGATAAAAAAGTGGAGTGGAAGTTACTCAAAGTCTTGCACAGCCAATTCTAAGGACTCTGAGTAAGATATACCTCAGCAGCAAAAGGAACTTCCATCTTGCAGAAATAATTCTGAAAATGTTAACATGTTTGTAGTTTGGTTTTGCATTGGCTTTTTTTTTATTAGTAGCCAGAGTTTTGTTGTCTCTTGTTGCTGTGTTAACATTGCTGTGTTTATGATGTTAATAGCCAGAAGTTTGTTTTGATGTTCTGATTGTGTTGAATAATTTGTTTAGAGTTTTTGTTTTGTTTTTTAGAGTTTTTTTTTAATATATAATGTAAATGGATGTGTTTAAAAACAAAAGGAAAGGGGGACATGTTGGGTAGGGCTACAGTGTTAGGACAGGTTTAAGCTTGGACTGATGAAAGGGTTCAGGCCTCTCATTGCCATGTGCAAATCCCAGCTTGGAGGGCAGAGCCCTCCTAGCACAGTTATAGCCAACAGCTGTCATTGTAAGCTTTAACTTATGGTCCGAACATGTAGCCCTAAGTGTCTAAGTAATATAGGCTGCAAGTAAACAAGTTTGATCAGGTACATGTAATTGAGTGGGACTGAACCCATGAGAATGTTGTGAACCTGTTGATCATACCCTTACTTTGCCTCGGGGCATCGGCTATAAAATAAAGACACAGCTTGTAGTCCCCATCAGGGAAGCAGCGTCCCATGGAGGGGAAAGAAAAAAAAAAAAGAGAGAGAGAGAGAGAGAGAGAGAGAGAGAGAGAGAGAGAGAGAGAGAGAGAGAGAGACCACTCCAGAGTTTTAAGTGGCGGTTCTAATAAGCAAAAGAACTTGTGTACCAGGGAGGTTTTGGGTGGCCATGAGAGCAGTAGACCTCCACACTGCCCTCCAGAATCTTCAAAGTTTACCTAGAAGCCTTCACTGGGTCAGCCAGTCAGATGGGGTCAGCAACACATTGTCCTCTCAAACCTCCGTCCTTGGAATGGCCCCTAGTCCTCCATCAGTGGGCAGAACATATATCCCAAGGACAGGGGTGGGAGGAAGGAATGTGATTGCCCAGTTGTAGCTCATTGGTTGACCAGCTGTGGTATCTTCTCAGTGACCCTCCCACAGAGCAGCTGCTTGAACCATGTGACTCTTTCCATTAGGGCCATATGCCAAGGCTATGGGGAAAATGTATCCATACAAGGAACTCCTTGTGGCTTCTCAGTGGAGCTCTTTGATGAAAAGACCATCTTGCAGGGTGAGTCTTGAGACCTCATGGTTTCCATGATGCAGGTGGATGCAGCAACACTAAGTCTGTCCTGGCCCTTGTGCTTGCCATGATGGAGACTACAGGAACCACCTGCTCTTACCCCTAATGTATCACCAGTGGATTTCATGTAACTCACTGGGATCTTCTCTTCTAATTATGATATATAAAACTAGAGGACTGATGCATGAAATTCCTGCAAGAGTAGACCTTCCTTCCCCTGGCTGCTGGCACCGGCTTCCCTCTGGCACCTGGGACCCGGGCTTCCCTCTGGCCGCCTGCAGGACCCAGGATCCCAGCTTCCCTCTCAGCACCAGCTTCCTCCAGGAGGACATCTGCTCTGATTAGCATATTAAACTTTTATTATTATAGATAAGGTACAAAACTGCCATTTCCTGGAACAATATCTCAATCCATTGACATTTTGCTTCCTGACAATAAACTCACAAAAATTCATTTAGATTCTTACATTGACAGATGAAACCAAGTTTTCTGATAAATCTTATTATTGCTGGATCAAACAGTGTAAATAAGATAGGCAATAGGAATCAGACCAGGTGTCTCACTGGGCTCAGACAAAACATGGGTTCAGCAACCTGGATACTTGGTTCTGACTAGGAAAGAATTCAGAGCAAGACCCAAAGTGTAAGAGAACATTTACTGGGTAAATTAGAGGTGTGAGAAGTAATTTTTAGAGGTAATGTCTTTAGGAAATGAGTTTTGGAGGTAATGGAAGCGGCCTTGGAGCTTGTGAGTACAAGCTAATGGTAACCTGCCTGGAGAGGAGGAGATGGAGGGAGAAGGGAAAGATACAGGTGTGCTCCCGGGAGGGAGAGCGCACTGGGTCCTCCTTCCTGAAGGGTTTAGGGTGGAGATTTCGGGGGAGGTCCCAGGGGAAGAGCTGAATGGAATATTCTGTAGCTTTCCAGGTGTGTCCATTCAGGGATGTGGCCTCCACTGATGGATGGGCCAGCACCAGGGCAGGGTCATTATTCAGTGCAGCTGGTCCTGATGTCAGCCCTGGCGTTTTGTTGCTTATCTGGCCTGGAGCTAGAGGAGGAAAAGTCTCCCTGGGGACAAGGTCCCACCCTACAGTTGACTGCCCATTGCTGGACACCTGGGCTCTCCACCCTGGTGACCTCTGTACCTGGCCCATCTCCATGCTCTGGGTGGGTCTGTGCAACTGCCCACAAGATAACCACAAGGGGTGGCTCTGTTGTATGGTAAGTCAACAAATGAGATACAAGACGTCTTAATAATTAGGAGTCATTTATTGCATGCAGCCCAGAGGCAGGTGTCTCTTCCAAATCTCTGAGCACGACATACAGGAAGTTTCCCATATTTACACTTTTGGAGCCTCTTTGTTTGCAGATTTTACAAAGAACACTGTGAGAGTTATTGTTACAGACAGTTGTAACCTTGAGTACATAATGAACCAGTACTTGGCATAAAAATTGGGAATTATTAGCGATATGAGTCTATTTCATTTGATGGCTAGCATGCAAGGTCAGACAGTTAAGTTTATCTTTTCCTATTATTTGAACTAAAAAAAAAAATCATTTTACAGAATAACAGACAGCCTTAAAGTGACAGAGTTTATAATGACAGAATTTACAGAACAAGGGTTTATCTAACAATAAGCAGAGAAATTCAAACAGCAGTTTTTTTATATACAAGATGGAAGTTACTATGCTTCAGCTTATGACCTCAGAGGACCGAGACTGAATCACCAGTGGGAACACATTTTTTCATGTGAAAAACATTTGCTAAAGGTAACCATTCTGAATACACAGAAGTCACTTTTCACGCTGGACATGACAGCTTGTTTCTGGTTTCATGCTCTTCCTGGGAATCTGGCTGTAGTTCTGGAAGGATCCCACCCTAAGGCATCCCTGGTCCCTGAGCATGTGCACCTTTTTGGCAAATGTACACGTCAGACTCCAGCTGTCAACAAAGATCAAAATGGAGCCAGATTCATGAGGTGCCTTTTCAGTGTGTGTTTGCAAGGAAGGACCACTGTTCCCTGGGGACTCTCAGCCCTGCCTCTCAGTGCAAACGTCCTGGTCAGGAGATCTGGCTGGTTAGGGCTCAGGCCTGTGTATCTAGGGCACTAGGGAGGGATGTCTGTGAAGTGTCTGTCAGCTGAGCTGGGCGCCAGGTGGGTGGGGCTGCGGTGCGGGTGGGTGGTTGAGGCTATTTAAGGAGCAGGCGGGTGGGGCCAGGCTCTGCTTCCACCCTGTTGTTCCCTTCGCTTCAGCTGCACTGAGATGGCATCTTCCTCGCTCCGTCCTCTGTGGGGCTGCGGTCTGTGAGGCGGTGGGGCCGCAGGGGACTCGGGCCGGGAACGGACATGGTGAGTGACGGCCGGGCGCGGAGGCGGCAGGAGGGCGGGGAGCCGCCGGGGACCGTCTGTCCGCGGGCAGGTCCGGGCTGCGGACCCCAGGCGCCCGGGCTCCGCGGAGGCTGCAGGCCCCTCGGGCTCGCAGGGGGCCCCGCCGGGACCCGGGTCCAGGGCGTCCCCGCGGCGGGGCCTGGGGCTGCGGAGCGAGTCCGGGCGGCTCCGCGCCCACAGCCCGGGCTCCGCAGCGGGTGCGGGGCCGCGCGGAGGGTCCGTGGGGACAGGGGGCTCGGCCTCCGCGGTCCGTGCACGGGGGGAGCTGTGGTCTGTGGCCTGTCCCTCCTTTCCCCCCAGAGGGACCGTGTTCTCCTGGGTGTGATGTGTGTGGGGCAGGCTCTCCAGTCCCCCTGTCCCCCAGGCCCTGCTCTGCAGCCAATGCCTGCATTCCCAGCCTCTCCCCGGACCCTGAGCCCCATGTTCCCTCCTCTGAGTCACAGCATCGTTATCAGCTGTTTGTGTTGTGGTGCTTTTCAAACGGTTAAAAACAAGATTCCGCCGATTAAGTGGAAGGTCTAATGGGCTTGATTCCCATCCACGAATCGGGCTGCATCCCAACTGGTAAATACGTAGCATCTCAGAGGAGCTATTCAAAATGGAAGGCGTTTGCAATAGGCAGAAACGAAGTGGCTTTGACAGCTCATTAGCAAAAGAAAAGGGGATTGCTTCAGGCGGGGTCGCCTTTCCTTAGGGGAAGGAACACAGGAGGCTTTTAGAGGGATTAATGTTGAACAGCAGGTTGCGGAGTGACGGGGTTAGAATGTTACTCCCGGGAGAGGTGAAACTGCAGGTACACACAGGCGTGCACCCCTGAACCTGGGGCGTCCATCTTGAGGCAATTTTATTGTTTTCAGTTCTTACACACACCTGCATGGTGTAGCCTGTGGGTCCCAGGCAGCAAACCTGTGCAACATGCTGCTGTACTGAGCACTGTAAGTGTTAGGTCGAGGCAGGGAGGAAGCCCAGAGCCGATACAAGCATCTGCAAGGTGGATGGTGACAAAGACAGCTGGCTAGCTGGTGCCTTCCTAACGGTCTTTTTCTGGGCCACTGTTCCCTTCCCCGATCTCCATCATGGGAATTGACGGCAAATCCACCCTTCCCTGTCTCCTCGACAATAGCCCTATAACCCACTCATTCCTAGTCATGCCTTCATGCCCCGTACCCCATTTAGGACGAGATATCCTCATCAAACTAGGGGCCACTCTGCAGCTCACTGAGAGTCCTTCAGCCTCCCTGCTTCTTCCGCTCCTGGCTCCCTCCCTTCCCGGGAACACTGCTCCCCCACTGCCTGCAGTCCCTTGTCAACCCAAAAGCATGGGACACCTCTACCCCGGTGGTTACTAGGCACCATACCCCGGTGAGGATCAGACTTAAAGACCCCGCCTCCTTTCCCTCCCGTCCCCAGTTTCCTATCTCCCTAACTCATTAAACCTCTCATTCCTCGGCTTCTGGGCCAGGGTCTCCTCATACCTATGGACTCTCCCTGCAACACCCCATCCTCCCCGTTAGGAAGGCGCCAGCTAGCCAGCTGTCTTTGTCACCATCCACCTTGCAGATGCTTGAATCGGCTCTGGGCTTCCCCCGCTGCCCCGACCTAACAGTAAGCAATTGTAACGCAGTGGTAGTGAGCATTTATGAGAAGGCGCAGTAAAAATGTGGTGGCAAGATAGAAAATGGTCCATCCGTGTGGGCACTGACCCTGAATGGGCTACAGGACTGCTCTGCAGGAGTCAGTGGTCGGTGAGTGAATGTGAAGGCCTAGGACGCTCCTGTGCACGACTGTAGACTGTATCACACTGCGCACTGAGGCCAGGAAATGTACAAAACACAGATCCATCAAGCCCAGGAGGCAATGATGCAATCAAAAGGCTCAGTCAGCACAAGGCCTCTGAGGCTGTGCCGGCATAAACCAGCACACTGCTTCACAGCAGAGTTTTCTTTCACTCAGTAGAAAGCTTACATGGATACAGAGGACAGTGTAGCAAATACATGAACCAGCTCACCATCATCAGGTTTCGCATGTAGTGACCGTAACTGTATGTGCTGGGCTTTCACAGGACTGGCCGCACAGGCAGCTTGCTTACACCAGCATCATCATAAACATCTGAGCAATGCATCTCCCTGTGACATTGTGATGGGTATGATGTCACTAGGTGACTGCAGTTTTTCAAATCCACTGTAATCTTTTCGTTTTATAGAAGGGATTTTATTTTTTATTAAGTTACAGTTGACATACAACATTTTATTAGTTTAAGGTGTACAGCATAATGATTTGATGTTTATATGTATTGTGAAGTGACCATCACAATAAGTCTAGTGAGCATCTGTCATCACAGATTTACAGATGTTTTTTTCCTTGAAAAGATAAATTTTAACATTTACTCTTAGCAACTTTCAAATTTGAAACAATACCATAACTAACTGCAGTCTCCATGTTGTATGCTGCATTTCCATGACTGACTTTATAACTGGACATTTGTACCTTTTGAAATCTTTCGTCCATTAGACCCCCACCACACCCCCATACACCACTCCTGCAACCTCTAGCAATCATCAATCTGCTCTGTATCTATGGAGTTGCTTTTTTCAAAACATATATATATTATTGATTTTTTATAGAGAGGATAGAAAGTCAGAAACATCATGAGAGAGAAACATCAATCAGCTGCCTCCTGCACACTTCCCACTGGGTATGTGCTTGCAAACAAGGTACATGCCTTTGACTGGAACCAAACCCAGGATGCTATCTGCTCAGCCAAACCTGTTAGGGCTGGAGTTGTTTTTTTAAAGGTTCCACAGATAAGTGAGAACACATGGCATTTCTTTTTCTCACATTTCACAAAGCATCCTGCCCTCAAGGTCCATTAATGTGTTGTTACAAGTGTCAGAATTTCTTTTTCTAATGGCTGAATAATCCTACCTAATAAAAGAGAAACATGCAAATTGACCACACCTTCGCTAAGCCCACCAGCCAAAACAGGGTGAGTATGCAAATCAACCCAACCAAGATGATGGTTAATTTGTATATCCAGGCCAGCCTGAAGACTGAAGATAGTGTAGAAAGAAGCCAAGCGCTGCAGAAGGGAGGGAAGCTCCAGAGAAGTAAGCAACAGGGACTGGGGAGAAGGGAGGGAAGCAGGCAAGGCAGCAACTGCAGCAGGAAAACCTATTGCAGGAATCTTCCTGCAACAGGCCTCATCTTCTGTGTGTGTGTGTGTGTGTGTGTACACCATTTTTTTTTTATTGTTTAAAGTACTGCATATATCGCTTATTTCCCCATTGACAAGCCTCCATCACCCCAGTGTCCATGTCCATTGGTTATGCTAATATGCATGCATACAAGTCCTTTGGTTGATCTCTTAGCCCTCTCTCCTCTCCTCCCTTCTTTCTGAGGTTGGACTGTCTGTTCAGTGTTTCTTAGTCTCTGGATCTATTTTTGTTCATTAGTTTATGTTCATTGTATCCCACATATGAGTGAGATCATATATTTATCTTTCTCAGGCTGGCTTATGTCACTTAGCACCATGGTCAGCAAACTGCAGCTCGCGAGCCACATGCAGCTCTTTGGCCCCTTGAGTTTTTCACAAAGGCCAGCTTAGGAGGACCCTAATTAAGTTAATAACAGTGTACTTACCTATATAGTATAAATTTAAAAATTTTGGCTCTCAAAAGAAATTTCAATTGTTGTACTGTTGATATTTGGCTCTAACGAGTTTGCCAACCATTGGCTTAGGATAATGCTCTCCAGGTCCACCCATGCTTTTGCAAATGGTGAAAGTTCTTCCTTTTTTATAGCAGCATAGTATTCCATCGTGTAGTTGTACCACAGTTTTCTAATCCACCCATCTACTGATGGGCACTTAGGCTATTTCCAAATCATGCACCATTTTCTTTTTTTAAAAAAAATTTTTTTTAACTCTCACAGGAAGATACTTTTCCATTGAATTTTGGAGAAAGGGAAAGTCAGAGAAATATTGATGTGAAAGAAATGCATCGACTAGTTGCCTCCTGCATGTGCCCTGACCAGGGCATGCAGGGAGGAGTGCTTGCATCAAAGGTGTGTGCCCTTGACCGGAATCAAACCTGGGACTGTTCAGTCCACATGCTGACGCTCTGTTCACTGAGTGATACTGGCTAGGGCTTAAACTTTCCCCCCCTCCCCCCATTAGTTTCAGGTGCCTACATGGTGATGAGACATGTACATAACTTACAAAGTCTAATATCCATCAGATACCACACATGGTTAACAGAATATTATTGACTATATTTCCTATGCTCTACTTTGCAACCCCCTGACTAGTTTGTAACTACCAATTTGTACATCCTTTTTGTTGTTGTTTTTGTTTGTTAATCCTCACTTGAGAATATTTTTCCATTGATTTTTTAGCAAGAGTGGAAGAGAGAGGGAAAGACAGAGAGAAACATTGATGTGAGAGAGAAACACTTCGATTGGTTGCCTCCTGCAAGAGCCCTGACCGGAGCTGGGCCGGGGAGGAGCCTGCAACCAAGGTACGTGCCCTTGACTGGAATCAAACCTGAGACCTTTTGGTCTGCATGCTGATGCTCTATCTACTGAGCCAAACCAGCTAGGGCATGTGCTTTCTTTAAAAAAAAAAATCTCTTATTGTTGAATGTATTATATATGTTGCTTTTTTTTCTCCTATTATCCCCCAGCCTGCCCCCTACCTGAGGTGTTCAGCACCTTTTGTCTGTGTTCATAGGTTATGCATATATGCATGCAAGGTCTATGGTTAATTAGCTCCCACCCATCCACCCTCCCCCGCCTTCCCTCTGAGATTCTGCACTCTCTTCCAGGTTCTCATGTCTCTGCACCCACTCCTTTTATCAGTTGATTTTTTGTTACTTAGATTCCACATATGAGAGAGATCATGGGATACTTGTCTCTTTCTGACTGATTTATTTCCCTTAGCATGATATCCTCCATCCAGTCCCTTC